TATTAGATTTCAATATGATTCCTGGTCTTGTAGTCTAATTTAGGGTTCAATAAAGATTACAGAAATATGTATATTGGGAAAGTAGTTGAGAGGCTACACATCAATGTATACCTATTTGGAAAATCTGTCCCAGAACCCCCAAAACTGACTATATATTAGTAAAACTATAATTTAGACATTTTATCAAATCTAAAATAAGTTTAGACAAATAATCTTAATAATGATACAATTTAGCATATGAATTATTTATATAATTATGATCTATTTTAGATTAGATAATCTAAAGATTTCAGATCAATTTAAAGATAAGCTAATATTAATAATTTTTATTTAAAAAAATTAAAAAATATTTTAATTAGAAATTTTTATAATAGGATTTATTATAAACTCATATTAATATTTTTTTTAAAAATTAAAAAAATTGTAATTAAAAAATTTTTATAATAAAACTTATTTTTAATCCAAAAATTTTATGATTTAAAAGTTTTAGAATTTATAAAAAAATAAACATTGATTTACTTTTTAATTTTTTAATACCTTTCTTCTTTCATAAAAATTTATCTCTGATTCTAAAGCTTAAAAAATTTTAAAACCTACAAAAAGATAAGTATTAATTATTTTTTTTAATTTGTTTTAAAAAACTCACATTTTTCTTTCTATAGGAACTAATCTTTAATTTCAAGGTTTAAAGAATTTTAAAATCTACAAAAAGATAAGTATTAGTTTTCTTTTTTATTTTTTAAAAAAATTCTAACAGATCTTTTCTTTCTTATTTCATAAAAACTAACCTCTAATTACAAAATTTAAAAAATTTTAGATTAAATTTATAAGATAAGTTAATATTATTTTTTTAATTAAAAGAAAAAATTTTATTTTATTTTTTTTTTTTTTAAAAAAATTTTAACAAATCCATCCTCCTTTCCTTTATAGAAAATTATTTTACTTTTAAATTTTAAAAAATTTTGAAATTTATAAAAAAATAAGTTTTTTTTAAAAAAGTCTAACAAACTTTTATTTTCTTTATAGAAACTTATTTATAATTCTAAAATTTGAAAAACTCTGAAATCTACAAAAAAGTAAGCTTTAATTTATTAGTTTTCTTTTTTATTTTTTAAAAAAAATCTAATAAATTTTCTTATTCTTTATAAAAACTTACTTCTGATTCTAAGATTTGAAGAACCTACAAAAGATAAATATTAGTTTTCTTTTTATTTTTAAAAAAATCTAATAATCACTTCTAAAAATAGTCACTACAATTAAAAAAAAAAGCACAATTTAGTTACAACTTATGATACAATTAAATTTTCTTATGATGTAATTAAATTGCAACTCAATTGAAATTTAAAAATAATTATAGGACTATTTTTAATTGTTTCCTTCCTTCCTTTATAGGAATTTACCTTTGATTCTAAATTTAAAGAACTTTGAATCAGATTTATAAGATAAGTTAATATTAGTTTTTTTAAATTAAAAAATAAATATAAAAAGTATCTACATAATTTAATTATAATTTTATTATTTATTTTAATTTATACATAATCTTAAAGGTATTTATATAATTTAAATTGATTTAATTATTTATTTTAATTATATATAATTTTAAAAGCATTTTTATTATATTTTAATTAGATATATTTATTATAAAAAGTTTTTAAATGTATATGATAAAAAATATTTAATTAACTTATAGATTATTTTACAGTTTATAATAAATAATGTAATGATTGAATAGGATTTTGTACTTCATGGTAAAAACCTAATTAATTATATTTTACTTATTTTAAACTGTAAAATAATCTATATTTAGTATTAGAGATTTATTAAAATAAATTAGTGTTAAAATTTGATTTAATTTAACATTAAAATTAAGGTTAGAATTAGAATTAAAATTAGCATTAAAATTAGATTATTTTACAAATTAAGTTTGAATTAAAGTTAGTTTAGGATTAGAGTTAAGATTAAGTGATTTCTTAATAAAACTAATTACAAATTAGCAATATTATTAATTATTTATAAAAATGTTATTATTATTTATTTAAATTTATTAAAACTCTACATTTTTTCCATCATGATAATGACCCTGAGGTATTACCTGTATAGAATAGCTAGTGATATAGTATAAAACTGGTATTTGAAAATCTAACATTTCTGATATAATTAACATAAATTATAAAAGAAAAAGTTCCTTTGATATATACGATTTGCTCATCTCGTAAAACAAAATAATAAATATTTAAATTCAGAAGGTTTCGATGGGTTTTGTCATCCGTCGAAACTTGTGGGATCAAATGAAAAATGCAAAGCCAGTTAAGAAATTCATTAACGATTATACCATTAATCAATTCATCTTAAACAAATGGCAAAAGAATTTACCATAGGGGAGATGATAAAATAATTAAAATCTATTAACAGAATATGTCATTGATACCTACAACGAATTGAAAAGAATAGTAGTAATAAAGATATCTAATAAAAATGTTACATCTCAGAAGCTTTGATGTCTAGGATAATTTGATACGTTGCATAACCCAAAGATGACATTATTTAGCACATCCCACAATGTAATTGTAATTTATTTTTTATGTAATTTGAATTTTATATTTTTGATAATTTTTTGTGAACATGAAATTTTTTTGTTATTGATTTATTTTGAAATTATTTTACACGCATCTAGAAATGATAAATTCTTTAAATTTTATTTTGCAAACCTGCAAATTGATAAGCGTATAAAAGAAATCTTTATCTTAAAAAAAATTTAATGTAAAAAGTATTATTAATATATCAGTTTGTGGTTTTGGACAACATCAAAGTGCATAAAGTAATACAAATAGTTATTTAAAATAATAATACAACATTGAAATATAAGAGCAGTAAAATATTTTACTTTATACGAATAAATTACCTTTTAAGAAATTGTCAATACTTATATTCTGCAAGTACCCTCCGGATTCATAGCCTTCCTTGCAAACGCCAAAACGACAAATGTCTTCTATAACAGAGCATTGGTAGATATCATTCTTCGCTTTCGAAACCACAGAAGCGACCTTGAGTTTGGCCTGAGTTTGGAACAATTGCAGACGCTGCAATTAGGAGTGCAATCGGCAGAAGCACCAGAGATGAGAAAGATTAAGAGTCCAAAAAAATAGATGAAAAGCGAACGTGTTCATTTTCGAATATTCGTTTGGTGGTTCTAGTTTTTTATTTTTGAAAAAAATATTTTTTCACAGATGATTATGATCATGTTATGCTAGGAAGATCACTACGCCTTTACTTAATAATTATTGGTCAACCGATCGGTAAGACCTGTAATAATTAACATCCCTAAATAAAATTAGCCCGAGTACTTTGTAGTAACCATCTTTTTACATATGAAGCTGGTAATTCTAGGAATATGTTATTTCCGCCCAACTTCGAGATCGTAATACTTTTTATGATCCATAGTCCCTAATTCATTGATTTCAGGATAAATTTAGGTTGTGGAAAATCTGTTAGGGAACGATCAGTCATATGGTTTTACTGGCACTCATTACTTCGCAATACAATATATGTAAGAATGCGGGAATTGTTACAAGATGACAGATACTAGGGATTTTGATCGGAATTATGATTTGTAATATCATACATTTTGATGCGCATAAATAGTCTGATGCAAAAACATCATCGTTTGCGCGTTCCGTTTCGGAATGTCGATCACTTTTTCCAGAAAAAAAAATATCTATGTAATTCAGTTACCGTGCTAACGATTCTATTTATATAACCAGATTTTTTTTGAATTTATTTATAAAGTTGCAATAAGAAATATTAATTACATATAGCAATCAAATAAACGGGATAATTCAGATTCCTCTTGTCGAAACAGATCCTTTTTATCAGTAACAATTGATTTCACAAAGTCAATAAAATATACATTACCTTTTTCATTAACTAAGATATTTTCTTTTCGAATATCATTGTGAAGAACGTTATGACTATGAATTATCTTTAATGCCTTGAGAGCCATATTTTTTTGCCATTTCTCTGTTTATGGAAACACAAAATAGTACCAACAATTGTCATACCCATAACATAGCCCATTCCACCCCCCATAATAACCATAACATACCAATTTTGGAATATATATTCCTTGAACTTTAGAAAGAAGATTGTATATTTCGATTTCATTTGCATTTTATAAAAAAATTTTCTATTCTTATATAGATCTAAAGCCTTAAGAGCTATTGTTTGCCCATGGAATTCGCATCGGTAAGTCCCTCCGGTTTGCCCATAGCCTAATGAACGTTCAAACATAAATTCAGAACAATCAAAAACATGTTCCATTTGATCCTGATTTTTTCGTGATCCCCGGTTACCAGACGTTCTCGACATACTCTCAAGTTATAACGAGAATTATTCAAACTTCTGGGAATCTGGCCACCTCCAAATTTTGTTGACTTTGCTGTAAAGCTAAATTTTGACTACTACTATTCATTATGTTTTGATGGGGAGATGTGGAATCTTCCTCTGCTAACTGAGTCAAATATGCGTATGATTTAAGCACTGGTGGATTGATTGAACCGCGTTGAAGAGGGTGTGAAATGTGAAGCTCCGTATGATTATGTTTTGGTCAATACAGGAAAAAATGAATATCATAGCTTGAAAGGATTCCATATTGAAGTTGTAATGATGACATATAATTGTAAATTTGCCTAATTATATCATTTGAATGGGCACTAAAATCCTACCTTTCCAGCTTTTCATCAGTTAATCCCACCAAATCCCTTAAAAGGATGTCTCTCTTGATTTCTAATGCCAAGATTTTCTTCATGAAAGTATCGTTAATTTTAAGACGGCATGTGTAATCTGGTACGAAAGGGCCAATATTAGGGTCATTTCTAGAGAAGTCGGAATCCTTCTGCTTTGCAAACATATATTTTTTCATAACCTCGTTCAATACACCAAATATATTGACTTCCATAGCTGTGTAGACATTTGTTTCAACGACTATTTGTACACCATGAAAAAATTGCGGTCTCTTGAATATCTCCTGTTCAAAAAAGTTGTACCGATTCACTTCTGTTAAAAATTCATTCCAACGCGCTATTTTTGTAGGCCAAGCGCCATATACTATTGTTGAGCTAATCGAAGTACTGGTATCAAGAGGATAATTTGCCGGTGGAGGAATACACAATAAATCTTCATTAATAGTAAGGAGCCCTATAGAAATGACAAACGGGTTTAGTAAAGAAATAATGTGTTTTTTTAGACGGGTTTGACGATAAGAAAAGCACAAGTATAAGTATTATTCGGTATTATATAACAGATAGGCAAAGCATAGAAATGAATAATAAATACAACTGCCTTTAAAGGCGTCAGTTGACATATAAATTATTTTATGATAGAACTTACTTTGGTTATTTAACTGGGTGACAGACGCCGCGATGTTTAAAGCTGGCCCAAGAAAAATAAAACTACGAAGTATCTGCTCAGTAAGTTTAAGGAACACATTACCATTAATATTTTATTTTTTAATTTTTTAACTTCATCGTCAGTAAGAGCGAATTCAGTTTGCTTGGACTTCAGAAAATCTCTAACTAAATCTACACTCCAATTTCTAACTGTTTCAAATGAGAGAGTATTGGACATATTATTTGATTAATGTGCAAAAAAAAGAAAAATAAAAAAAGGGTATATACAGTGGTGTGCAAAAAAAATGACAATTTTTAAAATTACGATCGTTACACAACCACTTTATCAATCGAAACG